GGGACTCAAAGTGCCTGGATGAGGGGCACCCACCTCCTGGAAGGTCATGGCCAGGTCCGGCTCAGGCACCTGCAGCACCCAGGCGTACAGCTCCCGCACCGCACCCACCCGCACCGCCGACTCGTTGAGGCCTGGGCAGGCTGCAACTGCGGGGAGGCACAGGAGAGAGAGGGAGGGGGTACATTAGGGACAAATCATGAGGCACCACACTGCTGCCCACCTCAGGAGGAGCACCCATCCTCTGGGGATGCAGGGGGAGCACAGGAAGAGGGTCGCTGTGGAGCGAGATCTGGCCGAGGGCTGTCCCACCGACACCGGACAACTAGCCCTGGGACCGGGGTGCAAAGCTGCAGCCGGGCTTGCCACCATCCCCATGGCGGCACGTGGCATCCTGCAATGGCCGGAGGCTGTGGGATGCTTACCTGTGCCTGCTCCTACTTCCTCTTCCTCCTCCATCACCCCTGGCAGCTCTGTGGGTACCAGCTCACGTTTCTCCCTTGGTGCAGACCCTGCCACCAAGAGAGGTGTGAGAATCCCGGCGAGGACGCAGCTGGTGGGCACTGCCTGGGCATGAAGCCGGGTGGGTACTTCCCTGCCCCATCAGCCCCAGCTCCCTCCCAGGCTCCCAGGGCTCACAGCTCGGCACAGGGGTCCCTGCCAGCTCTCTGTGTTCCCATCGCAGCTCTGTGGCTTCAAGAGGGGTGTTAAGGTCCAGCTCTGCCCACAGCTGGGTGAGGAAGGCTCGTCCCTGTCTCACCAGTTCCTCCATCACCTCCTCACCCTGCAGAAGGGAAGGGGGGCACAGGGTGGGTGGTGGGGCACCCGTAGGCAAGGCCAGGTGCCCGGTGGCAGAGCTGGACTGGTGTTGGATGGGGCACTGGTGACACATGACATCTTTATGTCTGTGTTGGGTGAGATCCTAAGCTTTGGGGTCAAACCCATGGATGGTACAGGACTGGTTGGACTGGGAGCCCTGGTTTCAGCTGGGGAGGATGAGATGCTCCCTCTGTGGTAGCAGAGTGGGAGATGCCATCTCCTTGGCTGCACAGAGGATGATGGGACTGAGGGATGTCAGAAGGGGACACAGGAGGACTGCTGCTGGGCTTTGGGCCCTGATGGCACTGTCACCAGAGGGGCAGGGACTCTCCCCAGCCCATCCCTCCCCAAAATACCTGCAAGAAGAGCCATGTCTCCCCAGGGAGCTGCCCCCAGTCCGAGGCTGGGGCTGGGGGGCTGCCCCCTGCCATGGCCCTCAGCGCCTCCACCCAGTCCTGCAGCCGTGGCCCCACGGCCCTGAAGAGCCCTGCGAAGGGGGGCAGCTTCTCGGGCCCCTGCCTGCAAGCACATCGAAGCGAGCTCAGGCAGGCACCCAGTGGTACCTGTTCCCTGGGCGGTGCCACCCGCTGCCCCACACGCCCCTGGTGGGACCTGGGTGGCCCCAGGCACCCTGGGAGAAGCCGTGTCTACCTCCCTCTGGGTGTGCCCTGGTTGCAGTAGGAGCAGAACCCTCAGTGCTTAAGGTTATCCCCAAAGAACTGCAGTGCATCTTGTCCCCAAATGCTTTAGTCATCCCGTGACCCACCACACCTTACCTGATGGGAGGTCTCTGGAGTCCCTCTGCTGTAGGGCTGGG